ATTGATGAATGTGATCATGAATGAAGTATCTTGACTTGGTAGGCTTAGGCATCCTCCTCTTGAATAATGAATGTATCTTGACTTAATGTCTTAATGATCATGAATCGGTAGGCCTAATGTTGGTAGCCCTTTCATAAATGACTAATGAATGTGTTGTTGATTTAGAATTGGTAGACCTAAGGTTGGTACCCTTTTTATTAATGAACGAATGAATGTCGTGAGTTGGTAGACCTAATGTTGGTAGCCTTTTATAAATGACTAATGAGGTATTTTAGGCTATGTCTTGAACCGGTAGACCTAAGGTTGGTGGCCCTTCATGATGAGTTAAGAACCCAATGTGAATGAAAAACCTTGAAGTGGTAGACCTAGTGGTGGTGGCCTCCTTCTTGTGTGAAATGATGAACCTAGAGATGGTAGACCTAATAGTGATGGCTTTCTCTAGGAAGATCAATGAGCTATCCTTAATGTATCTTGAAACGGTAGGCCTATTGGTGGTGGCCCTTTCTTCGTAAAAGTACTTTGGGTCGGTAGGCCTAATGTTGGTGGCCCTCTCAAGTACACTAATGTAAATGAAACTATTATATGGGAATGTAGGCTAAGCACTGAGTGGATATGGTTAAATGGAAACTCTCTCAATGTTAGGCTAGGGTTCCAATGAACATCTTCCAATCCCATAACTATGTGCCCGCGTAGGATATTAGCCAGTGGGTTCAATGCAAATAAAATATAATCTTACCAGTTTTCCTTAGGCAAGGAGACCACCTCTTCTAGCTTGCATAGTCTATGTCGGTTAAACGCTTATTCCCATCATGGGAGATGTGCATTATGGTTTCTTGAGGAGTTCTACAAAGTGTGGGTAGTAGTATGAGATGTTATCCATGCATTGCACGAGTAGGCTTCGAGAAGGTCATAGTGAGTTCTATAAGTCTTAATGACTATTGTTTGAATGTCCTCCTAGGATTAAGTTAAGGAGAATATTGATCTAATGTCTAATGAATGAAAGTCCTCTAAATGATGTTATTGAGAAATGTTGAATCTTATATGCTTAAATGTGAAGATGCATGTTATACTTGGATTGTATTATGAGTTACTTCTTTTTTATGACTTATTGTATACGAATGTGCCTTGTCTAGGGTGACTTCAAAGGAGTACTTAGTGTGAGTAGTAGTATGGGATGCTACTTGCACATTGCACAAGTATGACTTAGAGTTGTCTTAGATGTTGGTCTTAATGTGATGATGTGACTCATGTATTGTTTATGTATCTTAAATGCTTTATTTTGTAAAGGTGGAAAGGATGAACGCTAAGTTCACTTTTGGTGACCTTAAGGTGGTGCCTTAGTGTGGGTGGTGGTATGGGACGCTACCCATGCATTGCACAAGGTATAGGTTGAGAGTTACTTGAGGTGGAGGATCAAGGTGAAGGTAAAGGTTTATATGTGATTTTGTTCAAATGTGAATTATGTGACTTTGTATGTTGGTTCTGACTTATATTATGCCTCTTGTATCAATGTTCATGAAGTTTTACAAAAATGGCATAAAAGCATGACTTTCAACTCAAATGTCCTTTATAAGCATGTTTTTGCATGGTCATCATACTTAGTACATCTAATGTGCTAACCCATTCTTTTCCCTTTTTACCAAAGTGTAGTCTTTGGAGATGTTGGTGTTCTATGCTTGAAGGATAGGTTTCTAAGGTGCTTGAAGATGAAGACTTGGTGAGTCCTTATAGTTTCGAGGACGAAACCCATTATGTTCCTTTTATGCTTTTAGTTTTGTTAAAACTTTTGTATGGGCTAAGTCCCAATGTTGTCACTACTAAAAAAACAGTGAATACCGACCTAAAAATTTCTGACCTCAAATGGAAGTCGGTAATTTCCGACCTCCAGAGGTTGGTATTTACAAGAAGTCGGTTTTTATGCAAAATAAAGCGGGAAAACCAAATTCCGATCTTTGGAATTCAGAATTTTTCCCGGAAAAAATGTATTACAATAAAAACCGACCTCTTGATGTCAGTATTAAACAAATAAATAAATAAAAATATTTTATTTTTTCTCAATTAAATATAAAAAACAAAATTGATAAATATTTTAGGTTTTGTGTAAAATAAAAAACAAAAAAAATTATAATACCGACTTCCGTATGTCGGTAAAATTAAATAGTATGTAAAAATAAATTAATATCAAATACAGACCTCATGAGGTCGGTATTTTTTATATTTAATTGAGAAAATAATACCGACATCAAGAGGTCGGTTTTTATTGTAGTTCATTTTTTCTGGGAAAAATTCCGACCTCTTGAGGTCGGAATTTGGTTTTCCCTTTATTTTGCATAAAAACCGACTACTTGTTGCCGGTTTTCATATCAACGTAATTTCATACTAAATATGGATTATTGATCTAACTTTCTATTTATAAAAGTATACAATTTTTTAAACAATTAATTATAGGTGTAAAATGAAAATTTAAACAAACCGACCTCCGGATGTCGCTTTAATTAAAAGTAATTAGATGAAATAAAAATACTGACCTCTGGATGTTGCTTTAATTATTTTGATCTAATATTATTTAAATCGTCTGGAGGACGATTTTGTGTAAAATAAAAAACAAAATAATTATAATACCGACTTCCGAAAGTCGGTAAAATTAATAGTATGTAATAAATTAATAAAATTTAATGTGATACCAACCTCATGAGGTCGGTATTTTTTATTAAATCTAATTACTTTTAATAAAAGCGACATCCGGAGGTTGGTTTGTTTAAAATATTCCTATTAATAATCATAATTTTGCTATTGTGGATAATACTAAAATTTCATTTTACACCTACAATTAATTGTTCAAAAAGTGTAACAATTTTGTATACTTTTATAAATAAAAAGTTAGAATTCGTGGAATAAATAAAAATATATCTATAATCCATATTTAGAGTATGAAACTACGTTGATATGAATTAGGAGATAATTATACTTATATTTCTAGAGTAATGTACAAATTTTATCAGTTCGTCGTCTAATGATGAACTTAATATCTCATGTCATGACGTAGAGGTGAAGAGCTAACATATAATTAATTCGAGTATGAAATGCGAGATAATACTCGTAGAAATGTCATGATAACAATTAATTATAAATTTTATATTTATATAATTATGATGACATGTAAATGATAATTCATCGGAGTATGAAATACATTGATTAATTATATACTCCTTGAGTAGTTTAACAAATCAATTCTTATATATTAGTGGTTCAGATATGAAATACATTATCAATTAAAAAAATACCGATGATTAATTCAAGGAGATTTATATATTAAATTTGATATTAATAAACTTTAATTTGTTGATCGATAAAATTAAATTTATAAAATTTGGAGGTATATAATTTTAAAATATAAAATTAACTTGGTCGATAAAATTAAATTTATTAAATTAAACTTCTGTTGATGTGTAGTGAAATTAAATTTTATATATATATATATATATATATATAATATAATATAAAATACCAACATCAAGAGGTCGGTTTTTATTGTAGTTCATTTTTCTGGGATTCCGATCTCCTGAGGTTGAAATTTGATTTTCCCTTTACTTTGCATAAAAACCGACTACTATATATATATATAATATAAAATACCGACCTCATGAGGTCGGTATTTTTTATATTTAATTGAGAAAATAATACCGACATCAAGAGGTAGGTTTTTATTGTAGTTCATTTTTCTAGGAAAAATTCCGATCTCCTGAGGTCGGAATTTGATTTTCCCTTTATTTTGCATAAAACCCGACTACTATATATATATATATATATATATATATATATATAATATAAAATATCAACCTAATGAGGTCGGTATTTTTTATATTTAATTGAGAAAATAATACCGACATCAAGAGGTCGGTTTTTATTGTAGTTCATTTTTCTACGAAAAATTCCGACCTCCTGAGGTCGGAATTTGATTTTCCCTTTATTTTGCATAAAAACCGACTACTTGTTTTCGGTTTTCATATCAACATAATTTCATACTCTAAATATGGATTATTGATCTAACTTTCTATTTATAAAAGTATACAATTTTTTAAACAATTAATTATGGGTGTAAAATGAAAATTTGAACAAACAGACCTCCGGATGTCGCTTTAATTATTAGATGAAATAAAAATACCGACCTCCGTATGTCTCTTTAATTATGTTGATTTAATTTTATTTAAATCGTCTTCCGGAGGACGATTTTGTGTAAAATAAAAAACAAAAAAATTATACTACCGACTTTCGAGTAAAAGATAACTCATCGGAGTATGAAATATGTTGATTATATACTCCTCGAGTAGTTTAACAAATCAAGTCTTATATATTAGTGGTTCAGCTATGAAATACATTATCAATTAAAGTAATACCGATGATAAATTCAAGGAGATTTATATATTAAATTTGATATTGATAAACTTCTTTTTATCAATAAAATTAAATTTATATAATTAGGAGGTATATAATTTAAATTTATAAAATTAATTTTTTGTTGATGTGTAGTTAAATTAAATCTTATATATATATATATATATAAAAAAAATAAATTAATTAATAAAATCTACCAGAGATGAGTTTATATTAAAATAAATTATTAAATACCGACCTTAAGAGGTCGGTATATTTAAATTATTATTTTATTTAAATAAAAACAACTTCATAATGTTGGTACTTATTTTAATATTTTTAAATATAGATAATTATTTTAAAAGATAAAGACATCCCGTGATTGGTATTAACACTTTTTTTTAAAAGAATGATATTCTAAACCAAAAACCCCAAAACCCTAAGACAATTAATTCTTCTTCTTCTCCAAAGAAAAGAGCAGTCGCTCTTTCGATTCTCCTCCCTTCCCGCGAAGCCGCTCCAGTGAGGCCACTAGAGGCGGCGACGTCCCTCTCTTCCTCTCCCTTCTGTCCTCTTCTCCTTCCCTCTTCTCTTCTGTCGCTCTTCCCCTTCCCCTCTCACGCCTCTCACAACAGCCACTCCATCTCCGATAGAGTTCCGCCGGCGAAGCCGCCGCGAAGACCACCTGGCAGCAGCTCCAGCTGCTGTCCACCAGCGACCCACGAAGCCACCGCGAAGCAGCAGCAGCAACCAAGCGTCACCTCTATCTTCTCCAACGCTGCTACTCCAGCAGCTGCATCCGCCCTACTCTCCGGCGAAGAAATCGACAACGCCAGCAACAACTAACATCTCTGGTCAGCAACTCCGGTCAACGACAATAGACAACAAAATTATGGTGTCATTCTTCCTTCTTCTTTGTGAATGCTCATGCCTTAATTTCTTCCCTTTTTGATTTGCATGTTTGTTAATATGATTATATAGATTCAAACTCTTTACTTGTCTGATTTTATTATGTGATTTTTCTCCATGATGGATATAGTATTTTCTTACTAGGATTTCCCCGTTTGCGTTTGTGTTAATATGTTGGCTTCCTGTTTAAACTCATTGGTTTTGAATTGTTTCACGTAGTGTTTGAAGGTGTAAGGGTTACAAGTTCAATTCTGTTTCCAAATCTCATTGCCCATAATCAGTACTTGAATTTGATTAAAATTGCTAGCTTCTCGTCCAATTTGGTAAAGACTTATCGTGATGATTAATTAGGATGGATATAAAGTGATATAAGGCGTAAGAATTTGATGTTTGGAGAATGTGGTCTTTTAGTGAATGATTCGTAATTTGGCTCACTTTTCTTATAATATATTATTACATTATGATTTGTGTTTTGGTATATTAAGATAGGTTAAAAAGTAAGTGTTTATACACATTAAAATTTGAACATTCTTGTTGGAATTCTTGGTTTCTCAACCCCGGACACAATCATGGTAACATATACATCACAATAACTAGTGGAACAAAGAGAGGAAGTATTGAAAATAGGAGAAACCTAGTTGATCCTATTGATGACAAAATTGATTTTTTTGCAAGATTGATTTGTGTCCATCTAGTGTTGATACTAAGCTTTAATATAGGAATAATGTGTTTGTTTAGCATGAGTACCAACACTAGTTGATCCTATTGATGACAAAATTGATTTTTTTAAAAGATCGATTTGTGTCCATCTAGTGTTGATATTTAGCTTTAGTTTAGGAATAATGTGTTTGTTAAGCATAAGTACCAACACTAGTTGATCCTTTTGATGACAAAATTGATTTTCTTGGAAGATCGATTTGTGTCCATCTACTGTTGACACTTAGCTTTAATTTAGGAATAATGTGTTTGTTAAGCATAAGTACCAACACTAGTTCATCCTATTGATTACAAAATTGATTTTCTTGCAAGATCGATTTGTGTCCATCTAGTGTTGACACTTAACTTTAATTTAGGAATAATGTATTTGTTAAGCATAAGTACCCACACTAGTTGATCCTATTGATGACAAAATTGATTTTCTTGCAAGATCGATTTGTGTCCATCTAGTGTTGACATTTAGCTTTAATTTAGGAATAATGTGTTTGTTAAGCATAAGTACCAACACTAGTTGATCCTATTGATGACAAAATTGATTTTCTTGCAAGATCGATTTGTGTCCAGCTAGTGTTTACACTTAGCTTTAATTTAGGAATAATGTGATTGTTAAGCATAAGTACCAACACTAGTTGATCCTACTGATGACAACATTTATTTTCTTGCAAGATCGATTTGTGTCCATCTAGTGTTGACACTTAGCTTTAAATTTAGAAATAATATATTTGTTAAGCATAAGTACCAACACTAGTTGATCCTATTGATGACAAAATTGATTTTCTTGCAAGATTTAGTTGTGTCCATCTAGTGTTGACACTTAGCTTTAAATAAGTTAAAATAAATAATGTGGTTTAGTTAGTGAATTTAGTTGTTGGAATTAAGTCAAAACTAATGTAGTTAAAGTTAAAAAGTTGTTAAGTTGTTTAAATAAGTTAAAATAAATAATGTGGTTTAGTTGGTGGATTAGTTATTGGAATTAAGTCAAAACTAAACTAGTGAAACTTGTTAAGTTGTTTAAATAAGTTAAGATAAATAATGTGGTTTAGTTGGTGGATTTAGTTGTTGGAATTAAGTCAAAACTAAACTAGTTAAAGTTAAAAAGTTGTTTAAATAAGTTAAAATAAATAATGTGGTTTAGTTAGTGAATTTAGTTGATGGAAATAAGTCAAAACTAAACTAGTGAAAGTTTTTAAGTTGTTTGAATAAGTTAAAATAAATAATGTCGTTTAGATGGTGGATTTAGTTGTTGGAATTAAGTCAAAACTAAACTAGTTAAAATTGTTAAGTTGTTTAAATATGTTAAAATAAATAATGTGGTTTAGTTAGTGAATTTAGTTGTTGGAATTAAGTCAAAATTAAACTAGTTAAAGTTGTTAAGTTGTTTAAATAAGTTAAAATAAATAATGTCGTTTAGTTGATGGATTTAGTTGTTGGAATTAAGTCAAAACTAAACTAGTTAAAGTTAAAAAGTTGTTAAGTTGTTTAAATAAGATAAAAATAAATATTGTGGTTTAGTTGGTGGATTTAGTTGTTGGAATTAAGTCAAAACTAAACTAGTTAAAGTTGTTAAGTTGTTTAAATAAGTTAAAATAAATAATGTCGTTTAGTTGGAGGATTTAGTTGTTGGAATTAAGTAAAAACTAAACTAGTTAAAGTTAAAAAGTTGTTAAGTTGTTTCAATAATTTAAAATTTATAATGTGGTTTAGTTAGTGAATTTAGTTGTTGGAATTAAGTCAAAACTAAACTAGTGAAAGTTGTTAAGTTGTTTAAATAAGTTAAGATAAATAATGTGGTTTTGTTGGTGGATTTAGTTGTTGGAATTAAGTCAAAACTAAATTAGTTAAAGTAAAAAAGTGTCACGACCCAAATTGAGTCGTGAGTGGCACCCACACTTAACCTCCTAAGTGGGCGGACCAAGGAATCTAAACCCCAACATATTCCAATAATTCAACTACGAATAACAACAATAACGCGGAAACTCCAAAACTTATTAAAGTAACCAATCAAATAAACCTCTAAAGTCTATTACATATTATCCCCAAAATCTGAAAGTCATCACATCAAGGACATCTGTTCTTAACATATCAAGTCTAAAAGTATTAGAGATCCTAAAATAAGTAAATACGTTGGTCCATGTCCGAAAACCAAGGACATCACACCATAACTGAGAGAATCCAGCACGAGCTAGAAGGAATAGCTCACCCTGAAATCTGATGTGCGGGAGACTGGCTAGAGCTGAGGGCGAGTCGAAGTCGATGGTACACTTGCTGCACTCCACAAAAGAAAAACGCAGAAAACACAAGTAGGAGTCAGTACAAGGAACACGTACTGAGTAGGTATCATCGGCCAACCCAAAATAGAAACTAATATACAATGAGTAATAGTATAAAGTCAACTATAGCACTTAGCAGGTGATAAGAAACCACAACATGAACAAGTAACAGTTGAAGCAAGTACGTAATCAATCACAATATCAAGCACACACACGAGGACTCATGCCTCTACATCACACCCGTTTGGGAAATGCGTTCATTGAGATTGAGTACATTAAGTTAATTCAATATCTTTTTCCTTTAAGGTTACCGTGTCGGAACGTGACACTCCGATCCAATTACACCGTGTCGGAACGTGACACTCCGATCCAAAAATACCGTGTCGAAACGTGACACTCCGATCCAATAATATTATTAATTTATCATTTATTATCACTACTTTTCAGTTCATTAATAATATTACATCAAGCCTTCTTTATTCAAGGCATAACTTCAATAGAGAGGTGTTCAGATTATAAATCCCACGGTCTCAGGATTTTAGACCAATCACAACCACACAATCAAGCCACACAATCACACAGTCAAGTACATAGAGAACTTCACAATATCAGTCAATGCATATCAATCGCTATTAAGAGTTTATCTATCAAATAGAACAAACCATAACCTACCTCCACCGAAGGACCGAAGTCAAGCAAACTACTTCTCCAATGCTTTTCCCTTCCTCAATGCCTCCGAACCTTTCCAATCTATCAAATATATATGCATAATTTGTAAGTTAACAAGCCTATAAACACTCATATTATTCTATGTCCCTCCTATATCCAAAAACTCACCTAATTCTATAATCAATTTCCTAAAGTTCAAACCTATGTGTAAGTCTTAATTCCTCCCATTAGCATATCTCTAATGGAATTTAAATAATTCGATGCACCTAATATTTAATAATATCTATCTCAATATATCTAAATTTAAATTATAATGTGACAATAATAAGAACAATTGAAAATCGGAAACTCACTGGTTTGCGAAACCAGTAGCATACTACGGAAATAAATCATAGAACTACCCTTCCAATCTATGTGTGTTATCACACCATGATCATTATCCAATGATTATATCATGGATACTTTTGAGCATATATTCCCCAAATTCACAAGGATCACAAGTAGCCGTAAGAAAATTATTGAATTTAACATCACAATTTCTAATTCTCTTCTTTAATTCTTTCCACTCAACTTTAATACTATAATAATGTCTTTTATCCCTAATTTCCTATACACAACCATAATATAATAATAATATTAATATTAATCTGCAACAACTACATCTACAACCCAAAGCCCCCACCACTCAACTTGCACTACATTTTATCCCTATATATTTGATATTGCACCACATGCAAACGCCTAATGGTAACTCTAAACCATCAAATATAAATTAAGGCAATTGAAGAATGAAGTTACCTGGGTGTCGGTTTTCACTGGTAGACGCCGCAGATAAGGTTTTCCTCTACCGTAAATCTTCTTGTCTAGTCTTTTAATTATTTAGGGTAAATAATTATCAACTAATAATTAAATAATTACTAAACCCTCTAATTTATTCTTATTCATGGGCCATAATTTAATTAACTAAATTATGGACTTAGTCCATTAACTACCACAAATAAAAACAATGAAAACCACCCCACTAAATTTATAATAGTAGTTACGAATAGTCTAAAATACCCATTTAAAATCTATCGAAAAGTCTTTTACGAAATAAAAAGCTCTAGTACTCAAAACGAGCAAATGGGTCGTTACATTAGATACCAATTTACCCATCGTTCGTCCTCGAACGATCAATAGAAGGTGAGGGTAAGAAAGAGTACCTGAATCAACAAAAAGATGTGGATATCTTTCTTGCATATCCACCTCACTCTCCCAAGTGGACTCTTCAACTGGCCGATTTTTCCACTGAACCTTGATAGATGCAATCTCCTTTGACCTCAACTTGCGGACCTCCCTATTTAGTATAGCTACAGGCTCCTCCTCATAAGACAGATTCTCATCAAGCAATACCGAATCCCAACGAATAATGTAGTTTCCATCATCATGGTATTTTTTCAGCATGGACACATGAAATACCGGGTGCACTCCTGACAACCCTGGAGGCAAGGCCAATTCATAGGCCACCTCCCCCACGCGCTTAAGAACTTCAAATGGCCCAATGTACCTCGGACTAAGCTTACCTCGCTTACCAAACCGCATCACACCCTTCATGGGTGAAACCTTTAGCAAGACCTGCTCACCCTCCATAAACTCCAAGTCCTTGACCTTCCGATCTGCATACTCCTTCTGCCTGTTCTGAGCTGCTAAAAGCTTTTCCTGAATGAATTTCACTTTCTCTAATGATTCCCTCAAGAGATCGGTACCCCAAGGCCTCACCTCAAATGAATCAAACCAGCCAATGGGAGACCTACATCTCCTCCCATACAATGCCTCAAATGGGGCCATATCAATACTCGAGTGGTAGCTATTGTTGTACGAAAACTCTGCTAAAGGTAAGAATTGATCCCAATGACCACCAAAATCTATCACGCACGCACGAAAGCATATCCTCCAACACTTGAATTGTTCGCTCAGACTGTCCATCGGTCTGAGGGTGAAATGCGGTACTAAGATCCAATCTAGTACCTAATTCAGCATGTAAAGTCCTCCAAAAGTTAGAAGTAAATTGCGTACCTCTATCTGATATGATGGAAATTGGAACTCCATGCAATCGAACAATCTCACGGATATAGAGTTTGGTTAACTTCTCTGCATTGTAAGTCATCTTGACCGGAACGAAGTGAGCAGACTTAGTTAACCTGTCAACAATTACCCAAATAGAATCAAACTTACCCAATGTCTTTGGAAGACCAACCACAAAATCCATTGCAATTCTTTCCCACTTCCATTCCGGAATGGGCATTCTCTGAAGTGTCCCTCCAGGCCTCTGATGTTCATACTTTACCTGCTGACAGTTTGGACATTGGGCAACAAAATCAACAATGTCACGTTTCATTCTACTCCACCAATAATGTTGTCTCAGATCACGATACATCTTGGTTGCACCAGGATGTATAGAATACCTCGAACTATGAGCCTCTGCAAGAATAGTATGAGTCAAGTCACCAACACGGGGCACACACACTCGTCCCTTAATTCTCAAGACACCTTCCTCATCAATCACAGCCTCCTTAGCCTCTCCCCGCAACACCATATCTCGAATTCGACTCAGCTTCTCATCCTCAAACTGTTTTCCTTAATCTTGTCAAGAAAAGAAGATCTTGCCTCCACACAGGCCAAAAATCCCCCTTTTTCAAGTATTTCCAGCCTCATAAAGTCATTAGCCAAAGTTTGCACCTCTTTAGCCAATGGGCGTCTAGAAGCCTGTAAGTGGGCTAAACTACCCATGCTCCCTGCTTTTCTACTTAGGGCATCTGCCACAACATTAGCCTTTCCCGGGTGATATAAAATAGTAATATCATAGTCTTTCAATAACTCCATCCACCTTCTCTGCCTCAAATTCAAATCCTTCTGGGTGAACACATATTGTAAACTGCGATGATCTGTATACACTTCACACTTGACCCCATATAGATAATGCCTCCACTGCTTCAATGCAAACACAACTGCAGCCAACTCCAAATCATGGGTTGGGTAGTTACGTTCATGCACTTTCAATTGCCTTGAAGCATAGGCAATTACATTCCTATCCTGCATTAGCACTGCACCCAAACCAGAATAAGATGCATCACAATAAACAATGAAATTCTTACCTTCCACGGGCAAGGCAAGAATCGGTGCAGTAGTCAACAAGGTCTTGAGTTTCAGGAAGCTTTCTTCACACTCATTCGACCATATAAATGGAACATTCTGCTTGGTCAAATTGGTCAACTGGGAAGCAATGGAAGAGAATCCCTGTACGAATCGACGGTAGTAGCTAGCTAAACCAACAAAGCTCCTTACCTCTGAAACATTAGTAGGCCTTACCCAACCCTTCACTGCTTCAATCTTAGAGGGATCCACCATCACTCCATCCTTAGAAACCACGTGCCCAAGAAGGACACTGAATCGAGCCAAAACTCACACTTGGAGAATTTGGCATAAAGCTTTTTCTCCCTCAACAACCCCAATACAATTCTCAAATGCTCCTCATGTTCCCTCCTGCTCTTCGAGTATATCAGGATATCATCAATGAATACAATAACAAAGAGGTCTAAATATGGCTTAAAAATTCCGTTCATTAAGCTCATGAAAGCAGCAGGGGCATTCGTAAGCCCAAAGGACATTACTAAGAATTCATAATGCCCATACCTGGTTCGAAAAGCAGTCTTTGGCACGTCCGTTGCCCGCATTTTCAATTGATGATAACCGGACCTCAAATCAATTTTAGAGAAGACGCAAGCACCCTGTAACTGATCGAACAAGTCATCAATGCGAGGAATGGGGTACTTGTTCTTAATAGTTACCTTATTCAGCTGCCTGTAGTCTATGCACATCCGAAAACTACCATCTTTCTTCTTTACAAATAAAACTGGAGCACCCCAAGGAGATGTACTCGGTCTAATAAAACCTTTACCTAACAATTCCTGAAGTTGGGCCTTTAACTCTCTTAACTCAGCTGGGGCCATTCTATAAGGTGGAATGGAAATGGGGCGAGTCCCCGGCTCCAAGTCGATACAAAAATCAATATCTCTATCTGGTGGCATACCAGGTAGGTCGGAAGGAAAAACATCTGTAAACTCACGGACTATCGAAACAGACTCGATTGAAGGCACTTTGGAAGTATCATCCCTGAGATGTGCCAAGAAGGCTAAGCAACCCTTACTCACCAACCTCTTAGCATGAAGACAAGAGATAATACGAACTGGGGCGGGAATATAGTCACCCTCCCACACTAGTGGATCTATCCCAGGCTTGGCCAAGGTCACAGTCTTAGCATTACAATCTAAGATAGCAAAATTTGGAGAAAGCCAAGTCATACCCAAAATTACATCAAAATCAACCATCTCTAGAATGATCAGATCTACATAAGTCTCACCCCCCACAAAAGTCACAAGGCAAGACCTATACACTTTTTCCACTATCACAGACTCACCAACAGGAGTAGAGACACGAATAGGCATGTCAAGCAAATCACAATGCAAATCAAGACTAGTAGCGAACGAGGACGATACATAAGAAAATGTGGATCCAGGATCAAACAATATAGAAGCCATGCGATTGCAGACCAGAAGAGTACCTGTGATAACAGCATCAGATGTCTCTGCCTCTGACCTCCCAGGGAAAGCATAACAATGGGCCCTATCACCTGTCTGTCCATTGCCTCTGCCGGGCTGCGCTCCAGTAGTTCCAACCTGCCCGCCACCCCGGTTGAACTGGTGACCACCATTACCTTGGCCACCACGTCCTCCAGAATGACGGCCTCTACCATGACCACCTCTACCTCTAACTGCTGGGGATCTATTACTCTGATCGTACCGAGCCTGACTCTGCTTTGGACAATATTTCTTGATATGTCCGGCCTCTCCACATCCATAACAAGTCCTAGAGTCGAGGGTAGGTCTCTGTGAAGACGAAGAAGACTGGAGGTAACCCCCAAACTCAGAAAAAGGTTGACTGGTCCGCAACGGACCCTCAACTGAAGCCTGCAATGAAGACTGAATAGCACGGGGTGGATAGCCCCCTGAGCTCTGCCCTCTGGAGTACAAACCGCTAAACTCACCTCCCTTACGAAACTTTTTAAATGTTGACACCTTGGTGAAGTCATCCGGCTTCACCCCCTCTACCTCTATCACAAAATCAATCACTTCCTGAAAAGATTTTGCAGAAGCAGCTACCTGTAAAGCTGGGATCTGCAAATCTGACCTCAATCCCTTTACAAAGCGGCGAATCCGCTCTTGCGGACTGAAGCAAAGCTGAGTGGCATACCTGGATAACGCACGAAATTTAGCCTCATAAGCTGCAACAGACATCCTTCCTTGCTCTATGTTCAGGAACTCATCTCTCCTTCTGTCCCTCAAAGTCCGGGGTATGTACTTCTCCATAAATAAGCTAGAAAATGATGTCCAAGTCATAGGTGGTGCCTTTGCTGGTCGACACTCCACATGAGACCGCCACCACATTTTGGCATCCCCTTGAAACTGGTAAGTCACAAACTCAACACCGAATCGCTCCACTATGTCCATCTTATGTAACAACTCATGACAATCAACCAGGAAATCATAAGCATCTTCAGATTCAGTACCCTTGAAAAATGGAGGTTTCAACTTTAAGAACTTAATAAAAAGATCATGTTGGTCACTAGTCATTATAGGCCCTGTAGTCAATCGGGGAAACGTGCCTGTTTCCAAGGACGCATCCATGCGAGGAGCCACATCGGCTGCATGTTGTACTCCCTGAACTTGAGGTGCTAGTGAAGAAAATACTGGGGGTGCCTGTCCCTGATCAGATAACCCGCTAAGATAAGTGAGAACCTGATTAATCATCTCTGGAGTAGGCTGGGGTGGTACTTCCTTCTCTTGAATCTGCTCATCTTCCCCTTCGTCACTCTCTCTCACTACCTCGTCAGTCGGTGGATGAGTCACCACTCTATCCCTAGCTGGACCAGGTGTTTGTCCTCTGCCTCTAGTGGGCCTTCTCCCGCGACCTCTACCACGACCTCTTGCCACTGCTCCCCTTCGAGCTGCATCCCCAACGGTTGGCTCAGGCGTACCCTGTCTTGCCGGTGTTGGTGTTGTCACACCTGTTGCTCTAGTTCTGACCATCTGCGAGATAGAGTGAAGAAGGTCAGATACCAATTTGTATCAACCAGATACCAATTGGATTTAAGTAATAGCAGAAAGAAAGAAAAATGTGAGTTTTCCTAAAGTCCTATAGCCTCTTGAAGAAAAGTAAAGGCGTCCCCGTACCATTCCGCAAGACTCTACTAGACCTGTCCTTGTGTGATGAGATCATCGAACCTAAAGCTCTGATACCAAGTTTGTCACGACCCAAATTGAGTCGTGAGTGGCATCCACACTTAACCTCCTAAGTGGGCGGACCAAGGAATCTAAACCCCAACATATTCCAATAATTCAACTACGAATAACAACAATAACGCGGAAACTCCAAAACTTGTTAAAGTAACCAATCAAATAAACCTCTAAAGTCTATTACATATTATCCCCAAAATCTGAAAGTCATCACATCAAGGACATCTGTTCTTAACATATCAAGTCTAAAAGTATTAGAGATCCTAAAATAAGTAAATACGTTGGTCCATGTCCGAAAACCAAGGACATCACACCATAACTGAGAGAATCCAGCACGAGCTAGAAGGAATAGCTCACCCTGAATTCTGATGTGCGGGAGACTGGCTAGAGCTGAGGGCGAGTCGAAGTCGATGGTACACTTGCTGCACTTCACAAAAGAAGAACGCAGAAAACACAAGTAGGAGTCAGTACAA